TGCGTTTGTGTCTCGCTCTGGGCCGCGTAATAGGGAGAGCAAAACGGAGGATGCGACAATATCCGGCGCGCCGGCGTCCGACAACTGATAACGCCAAGGGATGTTTATGTATGTGTTCATAATATGTTTCGAGTTATGCCCAACCCTTTCGAAGCATCGAAGCATCAGACCTAAACCGTGAAACCACTTGGGACTACGGGTACGTGAAATTGTTGGAAACGTACTGTTAAATAAAATTACAAAACGTAGGAAGATTATATGTCGAGAAGGAAGAGAATCGATGGACGAGGCGTGGTCGGGGAAAAAATACATTACCGCCGAACTCTGTCTATGGACTCTTATTCACTTTTCCAAGTCTTCGTACGCAGCCATAACACGAAAGCGAGGCAAATACAAAATTCGTCTACAGAAATATCGTATTTGTCTGGCAAGAGAGAAATATTAACAAACGCGTTTTGTACGTTTAATGAATACTCCGGAACGAGGAAAGTCTCGAGGCTTTGAATTTTAAAACGCCGCGAGGTTTAGGGCGGTAATTTAAGGTCCCATCGATTCGCGGTAACGCGATGGAAGTATTAAAAAACGCAGGGGGTGAAATTAGTTACGTTGAAGCGTCGGTTGACGCGAGACTGCGACGATAATTCGAGGGAAATTTTATCGATGCCGAATGAATAAACCTATAAAAAGGGAAGTGCTTTCCGAGGCAGCTCAATGGCTTTCGTATCTATATGTAAATAAAGTAGAGAACAAGCGAGACAGAGAGGAAGGGGCGTAGAGGGGGTGGAAAGGGGAAAAGAAGAGGCGGCCATTTCTCTCCATGGGAGCTGCTGTAATTTACGCGAGGACTGAAGATAGCGAAGGGACTTAATTCACGTTCCGCCGGGCGAAAAAATAGAACCGCTACTACGGAGACGGAACCAGCTCATTCGCTGCTCTTAATTCTCGTTACGGACGCGAACGGCTCTCTTATCCGTGGCCAATTACCTAAGCTTATTAACTATTCCGGATAAACGAATTTCATTCGCGAAACACGAAACTCCCCCGCATCGTCCGCCCGCCAGTGGGAGGGGGCAGGGGGATAAAATAAAAATCCCGTAACGCGACATTCTCGCCCGGAAACGAAACGACCGGGAGCCATAATAGACACATTCCCGGTTTGCGGGGTCAGCCCGTGACATTCCTCGAGCAATTATTCCCGATAGAAAGAATTACTCGGCGCACACGTACGCGCACACTTACGCCCGGAGGAGAGCTCGAGTTTCCCCCAGCGTCTCGGGGGCCATAATACACCTCCGTCGGGTGAAATAATAGTTCAGCCTGGATGCCACACCCAGTATTGTGTGTATACTCTCGTACTTAGACCTCCCCGCGTCGCCTTATGCGCTTGCTTTGGCATTTTACGTAGGTATACGTATCGATGATATACACGTTCTATCGTGGACACGCGCGACACACACCGACGCCCCCCCTTCCTCCCCTCTACGGGTACAAGTGTACAAACAGCAGCGTGTACACGTAAACGTATAAAGGCAAACACGCAGCCGTGGAGGACCCGTGGCTGGGTCTCCAAGATAGCGAGATACGAACGTCGAGAGAAAGAGACTTACGGAGACTCGAGGAGAGAGACGGGGGTGAACAAGAGGGACGGGAAAGACAAAGGAAAGAGAAAGTGAGAAAATGGTGTGCCGGGCCGGGGAGAGAGTAAGAGGACAGCGGGGGTTGGTTTGGAAGAATGGTAGGGGTCTGGGAAGAACGAAAAGGGGGTTGTGCTCGGGATGATGGCGGTGGTTCTCCGTTCGTTCGCGTTCGCTTCCACGTCCCTGCAGACGTCCCCGCTGATCTACGATTCCCTCGCGCATAGCGGGCCGCATAACTCTCGTCTTATACCTCTCGGTGAGATCTGAACGATGATATTGCTTATCCGCGTGTTCGAACCGTCCGCGATCCGACCGAAATTCACCCCATCCGGGAAACAAAGAGGGGGCCGCGGCACGGTGGACAGGAAAGATTGCTCTCGCGCCTCCCGGGGTGGCAAATCCGCCCGCTCATTCCCGCCCGGATAAAATATTCCCCGGGAATTTCAAACAGGATAACATTCCGGTCAATTTATAGTTAATAAATTTAAGAGGGAGGGGGCGGCCGGGTGGTTGGACTTTTCTTGAGAGGGTGCATAAAGTTCCCAGCCATTTATCGTGGGGCACGCCTTCGCCGTATGAACGTGGAAAAAAGTCAATAACGTGTAATTTAATGTACGAACCACGATGAGATATACTCTGAACAGTGATGTATTCCATTATAGGAGAAGCTTCGTGCTTTTTATCTGCATTTTGTTTAAATCTGATACTCGAGACTTCATGGAGGCCTCTATGTAGATATTTGTAACTTTGTTTTACTTGAAATTTTGATGAGCGATACTAGAAGATGCATCACGGATGCCAATAACTATAGTCAGTTGTCAGAAGCAGTAATATCGCGCTGAAACTATTTCGATCAAACGCATCCAGTTTAACCTGTTTGCTAGGTCGTTTCTCAGTCAGAAGCACGTCGTGCGTGCAATTAAAAATGTGTAAAAAGGAGTTAACTTGTCTTGCTCGCAGCGAGCACCGATGTAAATTATTCCTCGTACACATTTAATGATGCAATTAAAAACAGAGATCTTTGCATAAATAGCAACGTTGTTAATAAATGCGAGCGAGAAATTAACTTGTCCTCCCTAGTTGATAGGCTAGACCTTCGATGAATGTTCTGGGTCTAACAGGCCTAATGCAATTGATCGCTTTATTCCCCCTGTATATTTATATACACCGGTGGACAAATTTATTGCATCGTTCGTAGAGTCGTTTCACTAAAAAGTTCCCACAACTCTGTTAAAATTCATGAAAAATACAACCTGTCTACTTCGATTAGTCTTGGTACGTTTGATATTTGGAATATATTTAGAACGGCTTTTGGACCAAAGAATTTTTCCAGACGAATCTAACGAAGACACGAGAATAGGAACGATCGTAGAACGATTAATGAAACGCGAACTATCGCGTAGACGCAGTTGTGAAAAATAACGAAAAACCACGAAACGCATAAATTCTATTATGACCCTCCGGCGCGGCCTGAAGCATGGTATTACTAAACAACGTTGTCTCTGGCCGGAAGCCTGGAAAAGAATGGAATAAGAGAGACAGAAACGGTTCGGGGAGGAGATAGGACGAGCGAGGAGAAAGAGGAAAACGTTCGCCCCTTTCCTTGCGCGGGTTTTCAGCTCGTGCAAGCGGTTAACGCAGCCATTTCACGCCTCGGGAAGCATCCAGTTTCCTCATCCGAATTCTAACCGAATTCACGGAAACCACTTCTACGGACAAGGTACGAGGATTTCTATTTAGCAAAGAGCGGAAGATGGCGGAGACAATTGAGAGGGGTTGCTCCGGGGGAGAAATTTCTCTCGCCGTTGCGAATTAATCCGTTCGGTCTTGCAATCGCCCTCGTGAACTCTTCAAATCCTGTTACAGGAAGGACTCTTTGCTGCTCCGTTTCATAAACTCTGTGCTGATACGTCTCGTCACGAAATCTTTCGTGGCGCCATTTCTCGGGTACAATTTGCACACGATGGGGAGAAAAATTTAAGGCTGAATTCGCTGACAAAGAGTCAAAACGATCCGCGAACGGATAAGCCAAATATCGAGATGTTTCCATCATGCAGCCCATCGACCCGAATAACCCTCCATCGATGCGATCTTCCCACCCCTCTGGCCGATTAATCCTTCGTCGCTCGGTGGCGAGAACCAAAGAGGGTGCCTTAAAACTGCCAATCCCCGATTAAGCGCCTCGACCAACGATCAACAAAATCGTTTCACCGCGCTAGACAAACGAACGGAAGAAAATTCCGCGTCGGGGGCCACGAACAACCCCCAAAATCGAATCAAGAGCATACGGTTGCTCCGATATCGACGCCAGGACTATTACACGGAGAATTTCCATACAGTGTTCGACTTATGGCGTATGGTGGATGCGCGAAACTGTCGCCGCGCCATGGAATTTTTACGGGGACAGAGGACCACCGTGTTCAGCCAGGTTTACCTCGTAAATCCGATCGCGCGACCCTTTCCGCGTTTTTCGCGGCGGAATGGCCTAAAGTGAGTATCGATCAGAAAGTCTGAGGGAATTACGGTCCATGAGCGATTCTCCATTGCCTATACCAAGTGGTTATATCTGCCATACGTCGTATGCCATAGGAAAGGGGCGGCAACCGCAGCAGCACGACTGTCCTTCCTCTCACCCTCCGTCGCCATAGTCCGTAGTCGGCTACCCCAATTTCACCCCCGAGAGCCAATATTTATTGATCACCCTCGAAGGCATCGTTCGGTATTCTCTCCGGTTCACTCTCGCGTCCTCTCCCTCGGCTTCCTCCCTCTTCGTCGCTCCCATTCCACCGCGCGATTCCGTTTCGCGTTCTCTCGCGGCGAACCTGCTCCTTCGACGTTTTTTGCCCCCTTTTTCTCGAGAAAAAGAGAAACATACGTTCTGCCGTCGCGTCGCCGAGAGACGATCGCAGCTGTTCCTCGCGATCATTCTCCCCGAGTTTCGCGGTGGAAGGAGCTAGTCACAGAGGTGGAAAGGGAGGGGGGGCCACCTTCGTAGGGGACAGGGAGACTCGACGATGAAAATTCACCCCACGACTCTTTATTCTTGGAAGCTCGCCTCCCGTGTCGCCCGAGAACGCCGCAACTAAACCGAATTCGAGGAAATTTCGGGATCCTACCCCCTTTGGCAGCATCTGCGCTAGCATGGATCGCACCCCCCCGCATAAATCTAACATTGACGCGCGCGATCCGAATTCGAGCAGAGAGCCACGGAAACGTGCTTCATCGAGGCTTCGATGTGTCGTCCGCCTCGCAAGATGATTTCGTTCGGTCGCCATTTTCATCGTGACCGTTCGACCGGCGAGAAAGCTCGGGTTCACGAAGCGTTCGCGGGCCTTAATGAAGTTTTAAGGAAGCACAACTCACCTTGCAACCATGTCCAATGCGGCTTAGCAATATCTTCCTTACCTGTGACAGAGAAAAGTCTGCATGTAGAGTCAGTGGTTTCTCGGTCGCGGAAGGGTAACGGAGCCCTGACGTATACAATTTCCGCACACTTGGAAAACACTTTTGTCACACACATTGTAATCACATGCACGAGGGACACACACGCGTAACGAACGGATAAAAATTTCGAGCACGCGTACGCGATCGAAGAAGCTGAGCGTGCATATAATAAGGGACGTCAGATTTCGGAGTTATTTGTCCGGAAAGCTGATCGCAGACTGCGCGAAACACCGTAAATCGCGGATAACGTTTAAGCAGCTCCCGGGGGCGTATAATGCCGGGAGCACACGATCGATCGAAACATTTTAAAACCGAGCCAATGAGAATAACTCCGGCGGCCCGTCATAAATGAAGCCATAAATCGTACTTAGTCATTCGCCCGGGAACGGCGATATTTCGGCCATCGGACAACACAACAATTTTCTATCGGATAGTTCAATTTCTAGATCGCGGATTCATATTTAAAAATATCCGCGCCAATCGGACGGGATTAAACAATTAACGATCCCCCGTGCCCCCTCGCGCCCCTGTTTTCCTCCATCGTTCGACCATCCCCCCCTCTACGCCCTTGTTTTTCATTTCGCTGGCAATTCCCCGCGCGTGATGAAACGTCGATCGATGAGCTACTGAATGCATTTTGTACGCGCGCACGGCCGTCGAACGCCACGGATTGTGTTCGTTAATATTCTATTAGACATCGACAAATGCGTGCCGTGTTTCAACGACAGTCGGCGTTTAATCTCCTTGCCTCATTATACATTCGATCTACCGTCAAGTGAAAATGACGCCCCCGACGCGAATTCGAGCCCGTCAAATACCGAAAGTATTTCCCGTAAATCGCGCGTCCATCGACGTATTTCTATCGGTCGAGAATCTCATTCGAATTAAGGCTAACTCCAAACCCAATCGGTACGTCGCTTGTGTTTCTCCATGGGTTGACATCCACTCGCCATTCGTTCGTGTTATGAATAATACATCGCCAACAAACCAGCCATTTACTTAATCGCCCCTTAAATTTTTCATTCGATCAACCAATTAGAAACCGTTGATAACGATCAGCACGAGCAAGCGTTCTAAAATACTCTGATAACAGATACTAGATGAGGTTTCCAGATGCAAGCCGTGGCCTTTGAAGAAAGCGTTTAAGAAAGTAAGAGACTAGTATCAAATACCCTTTCCGTGAGGCAGATCTTCATTACGACTATAAGATTCGTTGAGAACATACTCGCGAGGTATGAAACGCCCGGTGGTGCAAGTCGAAGGAAACCAGTTGCTCGCCAGATGAATCGGTGGAACGCAATAGCGGCCATAACTCGAAGACAAGGTCTGACAGAGCCGCGTCTACGAGCGGTCTGGAGCTATCGATTGATAAATCGCGCGTCCGTAAATCGCCACGGGGATTGTTAATGCGCGCGATCATCAGCGAAAAGGATTAAGTTAATTGCACGAAATGGGAAATTTCAATTGTCGAACGACTCGGTTCCAGGACGCGGCAATTATGCGCGCGCCGCTTGTAACTCACCGCAATAACAGAATAGTATAATCAATTTCTGCCCCCCGGGCGCCTCGAATTACGGCGTTTCAGTTACATCGATCATTAACTCGTTTATCGTGTAACCGGTCTAGTTAGTCACGATCGTAAAGCAACCTATTGAAAGTATAATGGAGCCGCGCGATGGGGTGGGTGTGCAGAATAGGTGGAGACGTGGAAGAGGTTAGGTAGCCGGGGCATTAAGCAGAAAGGAGCCGTTTACACGTATCGCGGGCTACAAACGTACTGACCGGTGTAATCTGGCATCTACGAACAACTTCTTTCCTGCGCGGCCGCTCTCTGTCATCCATATTCTAGTTATTTGCGCACGTGCACGGCCGCCAGCTCTATTTATGCGTCTGTGGTGAGCGAGCGCTCGCCCAAACGCGCGATGGTTACCTACTTAAGTCAGATATTATCGGCAGAGGAGGCAATTCGATTGCGTGTACCGAAGCATGGTGCAGCGCTGATATAGAACTACTAAACAGGTCGTAGATCAGCTCGGTTAGTTATAACGATGCCTCTGCCGCCCGTGCCCCTCCCCCCGCCTAACCCCTTCGATGCTGAACCAATTCCCACCGGTGTTCTGGATCATTTGGCGGCCCGCGGCCGTGAGATGCGCGCATGCACCGCCAACGACGCGCTATCGCGATCCAGTAATTCGTCCGTAATTCGATCGACTCTACGGACGTCCTGAAAAACCAACGACCACTCTACGCAACTTTTACACGGTGATACAACGCAACGGAGGATCGGTGAAAACAAAGAAGTCCCAGACACCGCCTGTCGAAACGATGATGGCTCACTTTACCCCCCTAACATTCCTCTTGGACGGCATTTTTTCCAACGAAACCTGGCCCCCCGACCGTCGCCCGAGCAACCCTTCTCCCGACGATCGGTCGATTTCAAATTTTTTCCCGATCTGGCACGGATCTCGACGCGGGGCTGGCGCGGCTGTAAATCAAGGACGAAATCTCATATTCCTAGTCGAAGGCCGTCCGCCGTTCGTTCTTTCGTCCGGATCGTAGCCTCCAGACCGATGAATTGATAATTTAAGGGGGGACGCGTTATTGGTTCCCGTCGGAGTGACCGGCGTCGGCGAAAATCTGCAGACCCGGTGACTTACGACACATTGCCGGTGACTGGTTATTAGATTATTGGTCGTATCGACAGCTCATGCGTTGGCTGCCGATATAGGGTGGGCAAGGGCGGGCGAGGATGGCCAGGGGGTTGCTGGTGGCGGTGATGGTGCCGTCGCGCTGGTTGTGGGTCGAGCTCCGGACCACGTACAAATATAGACGGGTCCGTGGTGGACGGTGGGCCAACGTGGCAGCGGAGGGGGGCGGGGCGGGGGGCGGGGAGGGGGCCAGCGGCGGTGGGACAAAATGGGGAGACCGTGATAACGATAACGTACGATCGGCATTAGCTGGCGGCTTGCTGCGGCTGATGGATGCGCTAATTATCAGCAAGCAGGAGTTACAGTATTTCGCGTACCCGTCCGTACGCGCGATGACTATGCGTTTCCGATAGAGACCATCGTGAAAAAAGAGATTACGCGCCAGAGCGGGGGCGAGGGAGCGACGAGAGAAAAAAAAAAAATAACAACAACCGGAAAATCCGGAATCGCGACGGGCGGTTTCAAAAATTCGAACGATCCCATTTGGAGCTCCGGGCGGCGTCGTTGTTTTCGCGCGTACCATCGGCCCCGACCAAATCCCGAGGCTACACCCGATGAAACCTCGCTGCATAATTCGCGAATCCGCCGGGCCCGGGCAACGTTTTATCCCGATCCTCGAAACGCCGATCCGGGAAATCAGTATCGGGGTAAAAATCGTTGGAAAAATTCCTGGGACTGCTCGATGGTCGCGTGATAACGTTAAGCCGAACGCGACGATACGAGAACACGCAGCGCGGTCCCGATACCGGAACCCGATCGTTCGGCACAAAAGCAGCCAAGTAATCTTCGTTCCCTTACGTTCAATTCCGAAGGCCGGGGATCGTAGCTCTTGCACATCTACGGCAGACCCATACGTATCCGGAAACCGCAAGCTGCGGTCTAAGCCCTGGATGCATCTACGTAACATAATCTACGATAGCGGGCAGCGCATATACAGCACGATCGGTCGAGATCCGGTGCCCCGTAATGAACATGGCGCTTGTTTATTTAATGGGAAATTCGGTGGCGCCATAAAGCTCGAAGAAGGGGGTGAAACCTATTAAATTTATGCTTTCGGTTTACCCGCTCTGACGGATCGCAATGCCCGCACGCGTCGACCTCCCTAGCCACCCTTCCCCCTTGTCGTGGTTCAACCGCCCCCCCCCGCCCTCTCGCACCGCCATTTCTACCACCTACCGCTGGTTCCCTTCCGCCCCGCGCCTTCCTCTATCATCTCCTCCCTGTTCCACTCGTGCTCATCCTCTATCTCTCTCTTCCTCCCATTCCGAAACGTTCCACGGGTCGGTGTGTTTGTGTTTACCCTATTGGTAGTCCAGTGTAATCCAAACGGAGATATATATTCGCAGTGCCTAGGGGGTTCGGGCAGGGTTCCGTGAACCACGTTGCGGCGCCCATCGTGACGGACAGCGCCGCGTCAGCGCGTAAAGCATCATCGCGTTTCTGCGGCTTGCGACCGCTCGCCGTACGTTTCGCTGGTCACAATGGTCCAAGGATCTAAAATGCCACGCAACAACGCTCGCGGCTCCATCAAATATCACGCCCGTTCCCCGAAACTGACGGGTGGGCAGACGTTATCGAAAAGTAAAATCCAGTACAGCGTGGAAACCGAATAGATGTTACTACCGAATCCATATTAACCCCTCCTTGGTTACTTCACATTTTATAAACTCTTTTCCTTAGGTTCGAAGGGTCAAAAGATTCCCTGATCCTACTAAAAAAAGACGTTTGTAGGATCTTAATTCTTCGTCACACTTCAGTCGTGCAACGACGCATCGACTTCTGCCACGAACACTCGCTTGTAACCTTTAATGGCGAACGGATAATTAGGTATTCCGTTTCTTCTCGACCACCCAGGTTGGTGATTAGTACGTATAGACGACGAAAGAAGTATAGCGAGGTCGTAAAAGCAGTAGGAAGTGAAGACGGTAGCACGCTTAAATGTCGGGAAAACAAGGTCCCCGGAATAAATTCTGTGTACCTGTTAGACACTATGTAGCACGTTAAAGACTCGGGCATACTTGAGCTACTTGAAATCGATAAAAACTCGATAAAAAAGGTGAAAGTATTTCTATGGAACAGCATGGTATTGGCAGTATTAAACTCTGACTAGTATTAAACAATGCAAAAACGACCAATGAATATCTTTTACGGTTGGAATGATTGAAGAGGGGGTTGGAAATCTGTGACTGTATTTAGTATAAATTAATCATGGGGTAGGACGAAGAAGTTTCCGGGGAAAAAATCGCCCTAACT